ATTTAGCCCTTTTGAAGAGCATCAGGGTAAAATGGACAGGACTTCTCTTGGAACCATAGTTCCTGCATTCCTAAAAAAAACCTTAAAACAACTGGATGTTTTCCCCCTGAGTTTCCTGGGAGTAAGAACCATTTTTCTCTCACTGAGATTATCAATAGGGGCCCTTTTGCACTGTGGGGACTGTTGCTGGAGCTGCCCTGAGCTGTCCTGGCTCAGCAGCTGCTGTAAGGACCTGCTGACCCAGACAGTTGCCCTGTTGAACCAGGCAGACTGACCATCTCATCCCCCAAGCGCCAGCAGCACCTTCAGGGGAAGGAGCCGGAGCCACTGTGGCATATTGTGCCAGGGAGGAAAGAGTTTTCCAGACTCCTACCAGTAAAGAGATGTATTGCCTGTCCCTTTCCAGTGTTTCTGAAACTCTAAGAGCTTAATGTTCTCATGATTTACATTAGCATCTAATCCATGCATAATCTCACTAATCCCTTGGCCCCAAGATATCCAGTGGCAGTGAGTTCCACGGGTTAACCAGTTGCTGTATTTGTTTGGTGGAGCAGATTTAGATCTTTTTCCATTCCCATTGCAGTTAGCCTCCTTAGCCTTCTGGCCAAGCATGGGAATGGGACAGCATCTCTCAGTGAATGGTCTTTGTATTTTAAGCCTTTCCAAGATTATTCTTGTGTCTGAGAGGCTCTATGGTGCATTGGGGTTTTTTGGGGGGGAGGGGAAGGGAGAGGCTTGGAGCTGTTGAGAAAGCCAAATGATGTCACTGAGAGATGTGCTGGAATACTTTATTCTGCCAAAAAGAAAACAAAAATAAACATTAAGACAAGCAATAAAAGAAAATAGTGTAGGGGTTGTGCTGAACTGCCTCCCTCACCCTGCGTGTCCTGGGCATATGGTTTCTCCCCGGCCCGAGCGCCCCGTCATAGCCATGCACAGTGGGGAGAATTAAAGAGGAAACTGGCAGCCTTAACATTTAATTTCCTTCCCCTTTCTGGGCTGGTCAGATCCTTTGCATTATTGTACCTACTTTTTTATCATTTCTATAAATAGATGTGCTCTCATGTGTCCCATGAAGCAGAGTCAGGCCAAAAAAGTCATTCATTCTGCATAATCAATACATGAAAATGTAGTGGTTACTGGCTCAGCTGAGATCTTGTATTGTTAGTTCCATAGCTGGGAAAAAAATGTTGACTAATAAAGATAAAGGGCTTTTTCTTCTTTTTATGAAATGCTAATGATGAAGACATGTTTGATATACTGTGAAATACATTTCTCTAATGTGAAGTTTCTGCTTTTTGTTGGGAAAGAGATCCAGTCCCTGGAGGATTTTAGAATTTGTAAATATAAAATTATCTGCTTCAGTGTTTTTTAAAAAAAGGTTGGCAGAAAGCCAGATTACTTACATTACTGTAATAGATTTGCTGACCTCTGACATCTGCTGCAGAGAAGTACATTGAATTTTTCATAATATCGGATGATGCAGATCTAAAAACTCAGTACACTCTGCACCATTATTTAATTCAGGACTTAGTAAAGCAAAATCTTTTTTTGAGTAGCATTTTATACGTGATTAAACTTAATATTGCCGATTGTAATAAATCAGGATTAGTATAGTACTGATTTGTTAATCTAACTTGTATTGATTTTAAGTTGTCTTTATTTAAAAAAAAAAAAAAAAAGATAAAAAAGGAAAAACTGGCTTTTCACAGTGACTGAATTTAATAAGAAGCCCTGTGATAGCAAAGACTCCCCTACTGTTTCTGCTCTTGGCTGGAAAATGTTATTCTTGTATTATTCCAGGAAAAAAAAAAAAAAAAAAAAGCCTCATGCTGCTAAAAATCTGCTGCCTGTGGAAAGATTTTTTAATACACTAGTGCTTACATATTCTATTTATGTTAATTGGCTTATAAATAATACATTTTATTAATCTTAATATTGGAATCTTGATCATGATAAAGACCCTTTTATTTGGTCTTCTCGTAGGCTTTACAAGTAAATATTCTTTAGACCGCAAAATATTCCCCCTCTTTTCCTTTTTTTTTTGTGAAGACTTTGATACTTCCCCCTGCCGAGAAATACAGCCACGGTTCAAAGTGACTGAAAACGTGGTTGTTGTTCCCAAACTGCGATACATTTGAGGGGTCTGGCTCCGCGTTTTTGGACGCTGTCTTCACCTCTCCTTGCGCAAAGATTGATTAAATCTTAGCTGCGCTGCAAAGATTTGGGAAAAAAAAAAAAATTATATATATTCTCGTGCTGGTTTCAGACATGTCACATTCTGCTAAACTATTTGGCTAAGAGCAGATCACATTCTTCCGGTGTTGGGCAATATTGACCTTAAATTGGCTAAGCCGGCTGCTTTCATGGCATGTGAGCCGGCTGCTTACATGTTCCGAGAGCTGCGTTAGCTTTATTACTCCTGCGCTGTAAAAACTTCTAATAATCAAATGATAAGATCATATCCTGTGGGTAATTGTCTTGTACCATGACAGGATAACTGAAAAAACATTCAGTGAAAATTGCAACCGACGGAAATCTCTACGTGAAGCGGCGCTTGTTGGTGTGGCTCGCCTCCGTGCCACGCCCCGGGGTTCCTGCCCGGACCCTCTCCAGCCGCCCCCCAAAATCCACCAACCCTCATCTCAAACCAGGAGGGGAAAAATCCTAGAACAAGCCATCCTTGTGTTTTGATTCAGTTTTACCTTAGTCATGCCGCCTCCCCGATACACGAAACATTTAATTCCAGATTTCCTGCCGCTGGCTCCGGGCCTTTGACCGGCTATGCGAAATGTATTTTTACTGCTGTCGGCCTGCCAACTGCTGAGCTCAGTGAAAAATAACTAAAATGAAAACCTTGTACTCCCACGTGAACCCTTAAGATCAGAAAAGGAAATTTAAGCCACGGTTACTAATTAGCACCAAAGCTAATGAGTTCTGGTGAGGTGCAGCAGGAGGAGGCGGCGCTCGTGCCCCGCGTTACCTTGCGAGGCTCGGTGGAGAATCGTGGTGGCCCGGGCCTTGCTCCCGTCCTGGCTGTAGCCACAGGGCTAATCCCATGGCATCTTTCATGGAAGGGGCTTCCCGTGGGCCAGGAGAGCGGCCCCGTCTCCCGTGGGATGCGGGGCAGCGGCCGGGACCTCTACGGATGGAATATGTCGATTTTTAACGGGCGACGCGTTCCCATGGAAACAAAACAAAGTCAAACACTCCCCTCGCAGTGCTAACAATTATTGTAATAAAATGTGTTTTTATTAAAAGCGATTTGAAATACTTAACACATGGCGAGGCGGCCTCGGCGTTGCCCTGTATGAAACCCAACCTTGCCTCTGGTGAAGTCCAAAGCCAAAGTGCAGCGCGGGGAGGAACTGGGTGTTTGCACCGATATTTGCGCTTGGCGAGTGAAATGTAGCAGCCTCAAGTATGAACAAGATTATTTTTTTCTTATTCTGCTTAGTTGTGCTTTTTATTATATAAACATTAACTGTAATATTACAGTGGGAAGCAGGTATTTGGCAACTACGTATTATTTTGCTAAGTTTGCATAGAGGGAGCAGTTTCCAGTTTTAGCAGCTGTAACATGTTTAAACTCAGTTTGTAATGGGATCTGAAGATGAATATTCCCTGTGGGCTCTGCTTAGCTTCATTACTGGAGCCCTGCCAAATTCAGGGCTAGAAAGTATTATTCACGCCTCTTTGCACATACCATGTCAGAGCATGCTCAGTTAATGAATTTTGTTTCTAATATAGCATAAATTAGGTTTATATTTTAACATAATTTATGTTGTATTTTATTAAAATGTAAAATATTATGATCACGAGCAATCTAATTTCTGCTCTCTTAAGCCCAAACTGTGTTTGAACATCTAAGTATGTAAATCAAAATTGCATGCTTAGAAACTGATTCTAGGATAACAAACGAATATCTGAACCAAAGAGGTTTCTGCCTTGGAGTCTTAGATTAAAGATAATTAAGGATTCCTGGTATTTGAACAGATTTATGTTGTTTATAAGCAAAGTACATTTTCTTCGTAGAGTCAACTCGTCTTTTTTTTTTTTTAAAACAAATTATGTTTGCTGTATTAAAGTTCATATTTTTAAAGTCTGAGTCGTGTATTAATCCCACAGTGAGTCATTAATCATACCAAATGCATTATAAAAACTTTAATCACTGAAGTTGAAACTGAGATTGTAATGCAATCCATCCCTTTTAATTATTTCAGTTATTTTTCCTTTCAGATCAAGAATTGCAAAGGGAAAACAGATAGATTAAAACTCAGGGTGTTTGATGCTTTCAAGGGAGGATATTTTTTGTTGGAGTTTCTTCCTTGCTTTTTTAGAGCGATTTTGTGCACGTTGCGATGAGCAGTTCCACGGTGAAAAATTCCCTTGCTTTTAGTCTTTTCCTCTCCTTCCTTAAAGAAAGGGTCACTGGTGAAGGCAGGGAGCGTGGTGACTGTCTCTGTATGGGTGGTGGCGGGCTGGTGCCAGGGGCTGTGCCCACCAATGTGTAGGGTTTCCTGCAGCCCTACTCATCATCTTCACCAAGGTCCTGGCGCTCGCCCTTGCACTCAAGGGAACCACCAGCCTAGAAATTGTGTAGCTGTTGTCAAGTTGGCTGTGTAGGTGTTTTCCTGAGGTTTGCTGCATGCGTTTAAGGGTAGAGAAGGAAAATAAAAATAAATGGTGGATTTTCTTTTTTAAAGCGGTGTGAAACGTTGTGGCTCCTATCCTCATCTGGTACCAATGGGTGTAGCCTGACAAACCACTGCAGCATTACTGATCCACACCACCTCCAGCTCCACTGAATTTATGCCACATGATAATCTTGCCAAATAAATTGATTTATCATACTCAATTTTATAGATGTAGAGTTTGCACTGTTGCTTTTATGGCATGGAAGAAAATGGATTTATTAAGTAAACTGCTCGTAGTAGATATATTTTCTTCTTTGCTAGAATGGCAAAACCTGATCAATTATTTGTTCCTTAATCCCTTAGATTAATCCTGCCATATGAAAGATTTATTAAAGGAGAGGAAGATAAGCCACTGCCTCCAGTGAAACCTCGAAAACAGGATAACAGTTCCCAGGAGGGTGAAGCGAAAACAAAAGTGTCTGGAACAAAACGCGTCAAAAATGAAAACCAAAAGAGCAAGAAGGAAAAAGATAATGCACAGAAACCCCAAGATGCATCTGAGGTTGGTTGCTTTTCTGCTCTTCAACTTTTCAATTAAAAATGCACGGCTTTAATCACGTGAAATCCAATGATAAAGTGTATAATTTAAACTGGAGAATTCCGACCAGTTGGCCTTGGAGTTTGCTCAGCAATGGAAATTTAGTTGTTGTGGTACTGTCTGTGTTGGGATTTTGCTGGGTTACAAACAGTAACTGGTTAGCTCCACATTGCATAGCACTGATGGCAGAAGACCAAGCACGGGAGGTAACAAGTACCATTTCTGCTCGTGGTATTATGCAGTGGTCACCACTAAAAATCAGCAGCAGCCAAAAGGAAACCACACGACTACCGCAGTTATTTCCTAATCTAAGTATGGGGTGCGGGAACCTCTAATACTGTTGATAATACTGTGGTCACTGTTGGACACAGCTGATTTTTATAATGGTAAACTCTGGATCAGCCCTTCTGTGCTCACAGATGTGTGCACGTCTGTCAGAAAACACTCCTCAGGATTTTTATTGTGTTATACTACATTTCTCTTTGGACGGAAAGGTCAGATTTTGAGGGAACCACCTTCCAAGCCCTAACTGAGATGGACTTCCCTCTCAGGTGCCACAGGTGGCTTTCAGCTGAGATAGGTTCCTCTTCTGTCACCTGCTGCTCTTGGGCAGGTCCCAGTTTCCACGTAGAGCCACGTTATCTGCACGCTTAGGTACCTTCCTACCTCACAGAACAGATTTTCTGTTCACAGCCAGAGGTGAGGTAGATCAGTAGAGTTCATATTTTTGTCTACAAATCAGGGTAAATTTCATGTGTTTTGCTAAATGATACCAAATCAACGGGGTCATTGCTCCAGTGGTACTTAGGCACTTTCCTTTGCACATCCTGCCCACTCTCTGCTGTGCCCTGCTTGCACCCTGTGTGAACGAGGCGGTGAAGCTCCTCACACACAATCCCTGTACAAGTGCTCCTCACACATAACCCCTACACAAGACGTTGCTTTTCCTGTCTCAGTCTGCCACATCACAGCAGCCTTCAAGGCTTTGCAGTGAAACTTAAGTATTTAAAGAATCCGGCAGGCTGTGGTTGCTCCTTTGACTTCATTGCTGTCTGGCAGGTACGTAAGTCCTGTTTCTAAACCAGGTTGGCAATTGGTAGTGAGTCAGCTCCCAACAATCCTCCTCCTCGTTGTTTAAAAAAAACAGTGCAGGGCCAGTATACGCATACACCTCTGAGACTTTGTGTCCCCAGTTTTGAGGACAGAAAATTTTGATTTTTCATGTCCCACAACCAATTTAAGTTGTGCTTACAAGGACAATTTCCTCTTCTGCCAAACCAGAATTTGTGTTTTAAATTGTGGAACACGCATTGCCCAAAGCAAGGAGATGGGAAGTGAAGGCTTGTGCTCCCTGCCCTTGTCGTTCCTTCATGCCTGGTTATTTATTGAGGGGCCTTGGATCAGCAAGATACGTTGCATGCTATCCGTACCACCACTGCTAAGCACAACATAACAAGTCAGCAAGAGAGCGCCAGCCTTAACATTGAATTTCCTTGCTTTTGTTGTTCCCCATCTCAAACTTCCTGCTGCTTAAACTGCAGTTATTTTTGTGTGGTTTGCAGGAAGAGCTCTTACGCTACGCTGATCGGAAATGCAGGGAGCCTAGGCGAGACAATAAAAACGTACAATTACAGCAGTTTCTTACTGTAAAATGGTACCTTTTATAGCAGAAATAATGTCTCCTCCCTGACTGGGATGGAAGATGTGCCCAGCCTTTATTTAATCAGGGTAGGTGATAAAGGACCTCAGCCTTCATGCAGGTCACCGTATGGGTAGGTGGTCTCACGAAGCTCGAGCAGCCAAGGGGTCTGCAGGGGTGGAGGCTTCCAGCCAGGGTGGGCACAGAGCTCATCTATGCTCTGCCGTAGGGAGGGCTTCGTGCTTGGGATGTGGCCCTTATGGGGCTCACAGGGAGCCTCTGTAGTCACACAGTTAGGTCTGCAGGCATGGCCCCAACCACGCCACTGCTTAAACCATTTCTGCGTGTGGGCCAGTAGCTGGCCGTAGCTGTGAGCTGTAGAAGGGTCATGAAGATACAAATGTGGAGTCCTCTCAGTTGCATGTTCAATTCATACACCGCAAGAAGTATGCAGGAAGAGATTATAACTTTAATTTATTAGGGTTGCATTTGCTTTTGTGCTCGTCGCTGTTTTCCTGCTGTCACAATGACATTGTCAGTGTAACGAGATACCAGACAAAATGCTATTAGCCTTAGACTGCACATTTCCTCACAATAGCTGAAACTTCAATCAAAATGTTGCTTAACAGAAACAAAGAGCAGAATGTACGGTTATTAAGTATGATTTCTGTTTTTTTTTTTCCCTCCTCCTTTCTTTACTCATCTGTCTGGTATTTTCCTGTAATTTTATAAGCTCAAGAGACTAGCGATGGTACTTTGTAAAGGACCTAATGATGGTATTTGGCTGCAAAAGGCAGCTACGAGTTTAAAAAGAAGAAGTTCAGATGACTAACAGACACTGTAACTAATAGGCCAACCAAACAGACAGGAATATTTAAAAGCAGCTGTGAAGAAATAAATCTCTGAGAGGGCTAGATTCGGGAGGACCTTGTCCGATCCCCCGCTCCTCTGACAGAGCATAAAGCAGCATTTAGATAATAACTTTCTTGATGCTTCTTATCTTTACAACGAAGAAAGAAAGAAAACAATAATAATAAAGGACCCGCACAATGCTGCTGTTTTATGACTGTCTCCTACCACGACATGTCAGAGGAGAGTGACAGCAGTTTTGAAAAGGGCTGTCAGTCAGCTGGATCGCAGATGGGACGCTCCGGTGACCTCTGCGGGTCACAGTTCAGCCGGCGACATAATGGGATGAATAGTGTGAATTGTGCACACAAGCTTTATTAATGGGGGAGCAGAGAGAGCTGCGGGCCCATTGACGATAACATATAAAAGCCATGTTTGTAATAGCAGGCACACACACTTACTGAATGTTGACAACTTCATTTTAATCCGTTAATAAAAAAATGTGTGTCCTAGTTAAGCTGTGGCAGTGATTTGCTGCCTACAATAGGGATTCCTCGTATGCCATTTCTATCATTTTCACACTTTAATGCAGAACTGGGTGTGAATGATCTCTTCTGTGATCACTGAATTTTAAGATAGCTATGCTGGAGAGACTTTGTGTAAGAAAAAGCATGGGCATAGTCTGCTTTTCGTAGGTGAAGTTGGCTAGCAGGAGGAATTTCTACAGCTTTTTCGGTTGCGTTATGTTCTCCTGCATTTGCCTAATTAACTTTAAACCGGTGTAGCCCCAGCGTTCAGCTATCTGGTCAAGCCACTGGTGCCTCTCATCAGGTTACAAACATCTGCTGGCTTGAAATGCCTTGTTGTGACCCTGGCAGGAATGGTGTATTTCTTAATGTCTCCAGGAGGTGCGTCTCTTTGTTTGAGTCCAATACCTGGCGTTAGAGCCTTCACATTTCCAGAGAGTCAATGGACAAGTGCTTCTCTAAAAGTAGCCAACGGTGTGCTATGCATAATGTTGTGAACAGTCTGCCAAAATGCACCGCATTCTTACTGCTGTCTGTTGAATCGTTTCATTAGGTTCCATCAGAACAAGAGAAGGATCAGGAAGCAGCGGACCAGAAAAATTTTCCTGAGCATCCTGCAGTGAGAGAGGTGAAACAACCCGTGCAAGGCCCTGCATCTCTTTTACCAGAGACAGCTCGGCCACTGCCTCTGGAAAAGACAGACCTGACAGAAAATGGCACGAACAATGAGAAGGCCAAGGAGGAGGCTGAGCACTCGTCCTCCTCCTCAAGCATATCCATGCCCCCAGAAGAAGACACCATGCTGGATGTCACTGTCACGAAGCGATCACACCCCCCGGCAGATGCCCTGGAAGACACAAAGCCTGAACAAAGAGTGCACAAAGCTTTTACTGACAGCTTAGAAAGTGAACCTCCAGAGATGCCCTTCACGGCCTTCCCGGAGCAGCTGCCCCCTCAGAGTGACGTGGAAGATGACAAATTGCCAGAGATGGCCGACTACATCGCCAACTGCACGGTGAAAGTGGACCAGCTGGGAAACGAAGATATCCACAATGCACTAAAGCAAACGCCCAAAGTACTGGTGGTCCAGAACTTCGACATGTTCAAGGAGAAGGAGCTGCCCGGGTCCATGAACGATGACTCCACCTTCGGTTACACGCCGCTACTCTACTCGAAGGGTAACCCGGGCATCATGTCACCCCTGGCAAAGAAGAAGCTGCTGTCGCAGGTCAGTGGGGCAGCCCTGTCGTGTAGCTATCCGTATGGCTCTCCTCCACCTTTGATCAGCAAAAAGAAACTGAACAGCAGAGATGAACTGTCCTCAAGCGTATCACACGGTCCGCATGCCCCTAGTTCTGATCCCGTAGCAATTAATCGTCCCTCCGTCATACAACATGTACAGAGTTTTAAAACCAAGGATGAAAGGAAATCAATTAATGACATTTTTAAGCATGACGTGCTAAGTAAACCGGATCCTCAGCGCTGTGATTTTTCAAAACATCACCTCAGTTCTCTTGCCGAGTCATACGTTCCGAAGACGGATATCCAGGACTGCAAAGATAAAATGAGTGAGAAAAGGGCACTGCAGCACTCCCATGTGCCCGCTTTCTTGGCAGATTTTTATTCATCACCTCATCTGCACAGCCTTTATAGGCACACAGAACACCACCTTAATAATGAACAGACATCAAAGTACCTCCCCCGGGACATGTTCAGAGAATCTGAAAGTATTTCTACTTTTACTCAACACAAACACCCAGAAAAGCGAAATTTAACTTATTGCCCACCTTTGCATCAGCAAGAAAAAAAGGCAGCCATGGAGGCCTCTTCAGATGATCAGCCAACAGATTTGAGTCTTCCCAAGAGCATGCACAAACAGACTGCAAAGGTGTTGGGCTCCAGCCACCCTCACTCATCCGTGGCGCAGCAAGAAGGCAAAGGTATCTCCCCGTTCCAGGCTACCAGCCTGGACTGTAACCCCAAAGCCTGCCGCGTGTCCCCCATGGCCATGACAGCCCCGAAAAAACACAGCGAGTTGCTCCACAGGTCTGGCAAGCAGCAGGCCCAGAGGCTGGAGAATCTGAGGAGGATGGAGGGGATGGTGCATCCTATCATCGGCCGCAGAGCGAGCCCTCAAAGCGTGGGGGCTGCCCGGCCTTTGAAACGGAGCCTGGAGGATTTGGACAAAGTCATTTCTGAAAAAAAAATCCGAGCTGTCTCTCCTCTGCACTTGCCAAAGGAGACCCCGGCGAAAGACAAGGGTCCCGACCCCGAAGGGGAAGGCAGCAAGCCGGTGCATGGCCTCCATTCTGGCGGCGTGCTGGAAAGCCACAAATTCCCCCTTTCAGCCCCCATCTTCCCAGGCTTGTATCCGGGAAGCCTGTGCACAGGGCTCAACAATCGCCTCCCACCCGGGTATTCTCATCCCCTGCAGTACTTGAAAAATCAGACCGTGCTCTCCCCGCTAATGCAGCCGTTGGCTCTTCACTCCTTCAGGGTGCAGAGACAATTCCTCACGTCCCCTGCAAACTCTCAGCAACTGTACAGACACTTAGCTGCAGCAACACCCGTAGGAAGCTCCTACGGTGACCTTTTGCATAACAGCATTTATCCTTTAGCTGCTATAAACCCTCAAGCCGCCTTCCCACCTTCCCAGCTATCCTCAGTACATCCCAGCACAAAACTGTAAACCCCTTTCGCTCGCAAAAAAAGGTCTGAGAGGAGAAGAGTTCAGCTGGTGACATTCCTCCCCCTGTGACGATGTCTCGCAGGTTTGGCCGCCTGCGTCTTTGCCAGCCGGGCGGCAGTCGTGTCCCGCCTCGAGGAGCGCCTCAGAGCCCCGTGGAGACGGGACTGCTGCTTTAATTCGGGCTCCCACGTCAGCCCCCTCACCCCTTAGCCCTGCCCCCGCCAAACATGAAAACCAAACGAAAAAAGACCAAAAAAAAAAAACAAAAAAAAGTTTTAAAAAAAAAAAGAAATAAATCATTGGATCTTTGCATCTGTGTTTTCTGAACGGACTTGTATAGGGTAAGAGCAAATGTTCAAAGGGAGCCGCGGAGGCGCCGGCCCGGTCCGGAGCTCACTGAAATCCCAGGTCCAGGTGAAATCCCGGGCGATATCCCAGGTGAAATCCCAGGTGAAATCCCAGGTGAGATCCCAGGGCTGCGTTTGCCTTTCACTGAGCCGAGGACCAGAGGCCACGCGTTGTTGCAGACGAGTCAAGGACTCGAGATGAACCTGGAAAGGAGAAGCGGGCCGAGAATCTGTACAATCAGTGGATGTGCTTTTTTTTTTGGGTAACTTTTCCTGACTTTTAAAGATTCAATCAATGCAATGTATAGTAAAACGGCAATAGAGTTTTCATTTTAACACTATTAGAACAGAAGGGTAAACACTGTTTAATTTGACTGTACATATCCACTTCGTAAACTACCAGTGTCACATTTGGTCACAATAATTTATATAGTTTTGTTTGTCCAGTATATTCTGTGCTCTTTATGTTCTTTTTCTTTTTTTGTTTTGTTTTGGGTTTCTTTTTTTTTTTAAATTAAACAGTATCATTTTATCTGCAACTTTTTTTAAAGGGTGTGGCTGTCCTGATTTTATTTTGTTTTTAACGTGTTTGTAATTTTTCCAGTTCCTTTATACTTCTGAGCAGCGTTTTTGTTTCGTTTTTGTGGTAACGTTTACTGTTTACAAACTGAAGCAACTGGTTCAGATTAATCTTAACGGTTATGAGCATACTGTGGGCGATGTTACGGTGCAAGGATGCAAACAAGGTTCCTTTCCCCCAGGTCCACCACCCCTGCGAGGTGCTGAGCACCTCTGGCCCTCCTCCTGCTGTTGCGATGGCTCCCGGGCCGCTTCTCCCCTCCCACCCAGCTTTGCTTTCCCGTATCGTGGTCCGTGAGTTCGTCGAGCGTTGTCCTTAACCTTACCTAGGCTGTGAAACCCTCCTGCCTACCAGAGGAACGGTCTAGAAAACAAAACCTCCCTGGCGCAAGCTGCTGGATGACAAAGGAGTCCAGAAAACAGGACTGGTGTTTTGCGAGAACGTTGAGAATTGCAGAAATTAGGATGGGAGCCAATGTGGATTTAGCTCGGAGGCTCATGGGTCCTGTGCCTCACGAGCGGGCTGGGCTCGTAGGGCGGGTGTGGGGTTGTGCGCGGTGGTCGGGATGGTCCTTCCACACCCCCACGGGGATCCGTGCCTCCCCCTGGGCATCCGATGGCAGCAGGAGAGCCCTGGCGTGGAGGGGCTGGGTTTTCCTTACGGAAGAGCTTCCCTGTGGATGTGTGTTCGCTTTGCAGGACATGGCCACCGTGCAGCTGAGCGTAGACATTGATAAAGCCAAGTGCCACTTGGAGGCTTTTTACAATGTGAAAATGGGTTGTGATTCAAACCGTCTCAGTCACTGTTCAAAGACAGCAGAATCGATGGGAGAAGAAAAATGGAAACTACTCAGAAACACTTTGCATGCTAGGCATGTCATTAAATCTTCCCGTGATATGAAGCCAAATACAATATGTAATGTATCATACTCAATATCCAAAGGTGGAAACCAGAAAAATATACTCGTCTACTGTTAAAGATCCAGCTTCTTCAATTAAATACTTTATATTCCTGTGGTAAAACTATATTTAATTGATGGATAAACAGACTAGTAGAACTTAGAACATGGATGTGCCAGTGCAGAGCATCCCGCTGCTCCACAGATCGTACAGGAGACAGAACCGCAGGCTCACCTGGGCAGAGGCCACGGTGTGGAGGACATCTCTAGTAAAAGTTGCACTAGATCTGAATCTCGTGAGGATCAGGGGTCTGGGGACGGGGGGAGGAGGGCGGGGGGAAGGGGAGAGAGTATAAAGCTCTGCAGCGAACGCGAACGGACGCTTGTGGTGTGTTTGGCAAAGCGAACGCTTCTCTTCCTCGTTTCAGTTCAGTTGTGTGTCCCGGAGTTGTGCGCTTCTGGAGGCCAAGTGTCCCTTTTGGTCAGGTCCCCTCGGAGTTCGACGGTCAGCTTCGTGGAGCCGTGCCGAGGCCGCGGGGAGGGGAGAGGAGGGGAGGGGAGGAAGGCTCCTCGCCTGCCCCACGAGCAGACTGGCCACTGCTGGCTGGGGAAGCTCATCATATACTGGGCAAAATGTCAGGGCGAAGGAAAAGGAATGGTAGCATCATCCCCCAACAGAAGTGGCACATTATTTGTTTAAAAACTCTTCACAGAAATCTTGGAAGTCTTTCAAAAGACCATTGAATTCTCCATTGGCTGAAAAAAATCGTTTGTTTTTTTTTTTTTTAAATGTCTTAAATGGGGCTTTGTTTGCATTGTTTGAGTTCAAGGGACCTTATTATTGAATGAAATTGCACAAGCCTTTCTTTGTGCAATCAACCCATTGTTATTGGTAGGTTTGTAAAGGAAACTGTGGAATCTAATTGGCAATAGAGTCATAAATCTATTTACCGGGAGCTAGTTCCAAGAAGTGCTGCAGTCCAAACGCACGATGTCCAGGATTCATGAGGGATGCTGAAGGTCGTGGGGTGGAAAGGAGAAGGCCCGGCAGCAAGCAGCTCGTGTGTAGCTTCCGTTGAGGTGGGGTTTAGGCAGTGGTGGGACTTGGGTGCTGGTGCGAGGCGGGCAGCACCGGGGGCGCTTCCTGCGGTCTTTGCTGTAAGCCCAGTGGATATTTTGCTCGTTCTCTTCCTCCTCTTCCTCCCCTCTTCCCCCCCCAGCCCCACAGTTTTAAATATGTTCTAATAATGGCAGCATAATCTACTAGCTGTTTATACTTTTTTAACTTTCTTTTGTTGTAAATATTGTATACTTTCTGTGATTCAAGTTATGTAGCCTATATGCTCTGTAAGGTGATGATTTGTATATATAAAAATGGCCCAGTAATATTATATAGTTTCCCATTTAAAAGGTTATTGAGTAACCTTTGCGTTAGTTTAAACACTACCAGAAATAAAGCTGAGCCAACTATAAACACTCAATTTTTGTATGTTTTCCAAATTGTACTTATTAATGCTTTTGATACTGTATTATGTGCCAATAGTTTCCCAATCACATAGCAGGCAAAAGATATTTTGTACTTTTTGATCCACTGTAATATTTAATAAAAAATGTTACTATCTGTTCCCTTTTGTGTTTGATTAATAATTCTGTAAACAGCCCTTATCTCAACGGATTACATATTATCCCATCCGACCTTTCAGCCCTCTTATATTGGCTTTTCTAGAGAAAATACCTCCTCCTGCAAATGATTAGATTAAAGAAATGGGAGTTTGCAATTTCCTAAAGGAGGAAGAGACAAGATGTTTAGTCGGTGCCCCTTGGTTTTTGCAGTGTGGCTGTGGTCAGGCTGACTGGGAATAGTTTTTAGGGGAGAACATCCACACTTAGCCAGTGGCTCCAGTGGCAAATCTGCTCCATTTGCACCTCAGAGTGGGATTCTTTTTCCACCACTACTGCAGGCTCGAGCTGGGATCTGAAAATCGTCCCCTGTTCTTCCCAGCTTGACCATGAGTAAGGTTCTGCAGACTCATGCCACTGAGTGATTTTGCTGATGACAGTAAACCACCACCAAGTAAAATTCATCTGTCCTCTTCTCCTTGATGGGTCCAAAAAGCCCCCCAACACCTGGTGAGCCTTTGGGAGGCAACCACTTCTGAAATGGCCCATGCTCTGAGTTCAGAGAACAGGAGATGCTGTGCCATGGAGCTTGCCACCTTGTCACACCATTTCTTAATTGCAGGTGCCAGCAGCAGGAGACAAACAGTTGGAGGGTCTGAAGCAAATGGAGATGCAAACAGCGGTGGTGCTGAATGCAGTTCAGAGGCTGGGGGCTTTTGGTTCTGTCTCCTTCCATCTTGCCTGTCTGTGGTTACACATCAGTGCCCTCTGCCATGCTCCTTGCCTGAGGCACAGGCCTCCAAGGACCTCGCAGGGCCTTGGCAAGCCTGGCAGCAGATGGAGGGTCCTGTGACGGGACCCCCCTGTCGTGGGTGGATCCTTGGCAAGCGTGTGTGGCTTGTTGCAGATGCTCAACCAGCAGCCTTTTGGGGCTGACACTAACCCTGTGGTGATGCCAACCTGTAGGCACCAGGGCCCTTCCTCTCCCCCTCTGCTGTACCAGCGATGGCTCTGCTCCAGAAGCTTTCAGGAACATTTCAAGGAAAGTTTCTGCTGCTGGGAGGAGCAGATCACGCACAGACATCACCGGTAATCCTCACTGGCACCATAATTGCTCTGGGAAATGCAGCACTCGCCCACAGGCTTTCCAGGAATATCAGACACCTTCAGCTCTTCCTGGATCAAGAAAACCGGAGCTTCTATCTTTGCCTTCTCCAGTTTGGGTCGGCTCACAGCTGAGGTGCTATCAGAGCATGTTGCCTCCCCAGCTGAAGACAAACCTGGGGAGGGCTGGATGGCCTCGAGCGAAGCGGCAGAAGTGGCCACCAAAGCATCCCCTGTCTCCCTCATGTTGGACCTGCAGCTCCTGGAGGTTTGCAGAAGGCCGTGGCTGTAGCCAGGGCCCAGGCCGTGCCCGTGGAGGTGGCACGTGTCCAGCCAGCAGACGGGGGTGAGAGCTGTGGGATACAACTTAATCTGTGTTTTCATTTAGCTCTTCAATTTATTCTTTATGGGATTAAAAAAAACATTATTATTTGTGATGTTAGATGCTCCATCTAGTGTCTCACATGGGGAGTGACCCCCCCAGTGTCACGGGCAGAGTCTGGGACAGGATGTCCCCTGTCCTGGTGGCTGGTGTATTGGGGACTGGACCCTCTTTCCCCACAGCACCAGGACCGTGGGGCCAGCAGCCTGGGACATTGGGGACAAATGTATCCAAAACTGGATTAGACTAATTCGTGAAGATTTTTGTATCTGATGAAAACC